AAATTTTGCTCAATGTTCTTATTTCGATCCAATTTACTCGTACAAATAATACCTTTATACTCGGCTAATTTGTTAGTTTTCGTAGAAAACCCGTCTCAAGAATAATTGCGTGTTAACACATGAAATTTTTTTTGTTATGTATAATAATTTAATAAAAAATAAAAATTCATTCTTTTTCTAGCTGTCAAAATGTCTTTCATTCATAAAATTTAAAATAAAGCAAAATACATCTAGAACACTAACATTGCGAAAAGGTTATCTATCTACATGAAATATATTTCCAAAATAACTATCTTAACTATAATAATAGGAGCAGAGCAGTGAAGGGAAATATGGAGAAAACGTGAGAAGTTACTCCATTTTTAAGCTTCCGTCGCGTTTGCAGCCTTAATGGGCACTTTTTAAAATATATAAATGTCCACCCGTGCGACGCCGGGACGGGCCGCTAGTATACAATATAAGAGATTCCTTGATTTTTTTCAAGTTTCAAAAAAATGTTAGTTGGTCTCGCTATGAAAGATGTTGAAGACTAAGCAATATGAAGGATATTAAGACGTAAGGCGGACTCTAGTAGAAAAGTTATTAGGTAAACGAATAAGAGTATATCTAAAAAAGAGGCCACCACAAAATAGCGGACTTCTATTTTAAAAAAAACACACTAATTTGATTTATATTAAGATATATAATAATGGGAGTATTGTATTATTGAATGTATGGTAAATATATGTACAATAAATTGTTCAATCTAGTGAGTTGGTCGCTTATCACCTTATCTTTATTGACATTACAATCAGCCAATTAGAGTATCCATACAGAAGTGGCATTGTCGGCACTTGTAACAACATGAGATAAATATTATAAACACAAGAAATAGACATAGATCATGAAAGATATTAATTGAAACTATTCATACAACTTGTTCTTCTCATCATGAAAGATATTAATTGAAACTATTCATACAACTTCTGTACTTATATTTACATAGCGGAAAATTAGATTTTTTTAAAGACTAAAAAAAAGAACAAAACTCACTCACTCACCAGAGGGAGACTTTGTACAAAAGTCGATTGCTTGGGTACCTCTTTCCCATTCGTGTTTCTACCGTAAAGCAGTTGTGTTTGCATGGCTGTGTTTCGGTTTGAAGGGTGGGATATAGTGAGTGAATTTACAGGGTACAGAGGAATAACACCTGAGTCCTCAGGAATGGCAACGCATGGGGGGTAACATGGGCGAAACAGTATTCTCTGTTATGTCCATGGTACTACTCCATGTACTACCATTTGCAATTCTAAGTTGTATAAAAAAAAAGTCCTCGAAGATATTTTGTGTAACTAAGAAGCCAAACAACCAACAACGAATAACTGGGGGTTCAATCGAAAATATCCAGACATGAGCTAATTTAAAAAACGTCGTTTTTTTATGCCACTTAAATCATAAACAAACATACGACCTACCTAACAGACGGTATGCGGTTACCGTAGCCTATGAACTCTTGTTATACTAGGGGTGCATTACGCGCGCGTTGCTGAAAGAAACCTCTATATCCTTTTTTTGAAGAACCTAATGCTGTAGTCTCTTAGAAAAACCTCGACCTCCTTGGTCATTACATGAGCGTCGTTTCCTAAATTGACCCGACTGAGAATTGAATCCGGGATCTGATTACGCAAAGCGATGTGGGCAATTTTTTTTAAGCAATATCTTCTCAAAATCTGAACCCATACTGATAACTCTTTTTATTTTCAAAAAGTTTACTCCTGTGTAGCATTCATAGTAATTTTATAATAATGATTAATCACTTTTTTTGCAGAACAAAATCTGCTTATAACTGTTTTTATGGTGTTGATTATTGACATTTAATGGGATTTTTAATAAGCTATTGGAAAACATTTATTTTATTCCATATATTATAATATTTTATTAACGATTTGTGTTATTCATTCATTTATTTATTCATTAGTACAAATATGTGTACATGGCGGACTCAATGCTAAAAGCATTCTCTCCCAGTCAACCATAGGGAAGTGTCAGAATACTCGAATACGGTACTACTAATTATTGATATACATACATATTAAAATTACATATATAAACGAATAAATATATATGAATAACAAATATACTGACACATATATGATATATACTATATTATACACGAATTTGGGAATAATAGAAAGCACTTACTGCTCGGATAAAGATAAAAAGTGAGCGTGAACGCTTTTTTTGAAAGACGGTTTAGTCGGTAGTCTCTTAATGGCATCAGGAAGCACCATTATAATGTTCTCAAAAGTTTATAATATTTATAATGTACTTGCAATTAAATAATTGAAAACAATATAATTAACTAGCCACCCATCTTAGACTCACATGATTTTTTTAAAATAAAATACAACCTATGATACTCACTGATTCAGCTTCCAACAAATGAAAAAATTTTGATAATCGGTTAAATAGTTTCTAAGTTAATCTATTAAACAAATATACAAAAATTAAATCTTTCCTATTTATAACATCAGTTTAGCTTACATTAAATAAATATAATATAAATTGTTTTCATTACATATCTGTAGGGACTTCATTACTAATATTCACTTTTATTATGTAATATTACTAATATTATGAATGACAAAGTGAGTTTGCTTATTATCTCTTAGCAGCTTAAATGGTTCATAAAATTTATAGTATTTGCGTAATATTTGGGATAGAGAAAGACGTAGGCTGGAGTTTATTTCAGTTAATAAATATATCCTGCTTACGTGGATGCAGTCACGGATAAAACTAATTAAATACGTATAATACACAGTGAGTAATATTTTATCAGTTTATTTTTATAGGTACTTTACACAGTATCCATACTGTGCTTAATCATATTGCTGCCATTAGTTGGATTTTAATGAGGTCACTTTATCATAAGGTACTTTATTTATTTATAATTAATATTTATCTTTATTTATTAGGATAAGTTTAAAGTAACTATTTGTCCAAATACAAGTCCAATAATGATAGTAGGTATACAGATAGCGGAGAGAAACACTGACAACTAACAATCATTTGTAATAACCTGATAATATTGGCTGGAAATAGTACAGTGTAATAGTCACGTCGACCTCCACGCGGTCCTATCGAAGTCGTTATTAATTTCTAGAGAATTTGTCCCTTCTCGTCATGATTGTCCAACTGATCTGAATTTTTCCTTACTACTCTACCAACGTATACCAATAGCACAGATGGAATTATAATTTGATCACCACCCAATAAAATAATAATATGTGTATCACAAAAAAAAAACAACTTTAATTGTCTTTTGATTTAAAAACTAAACTACTTAACCAATTTTGATAGAATTTCTATTGTATTTATCTTCTATGTACATTTCAGTTAAAAAAGGATTTTTCAAATCGGTTTAGAAGTGAAAGAGTTATGAGGTAACAAAACTAACTTTTTGAAGTCATTTGAAAAAAAAACCTTAACGCCCTTGTATTTATATTCGTTATGTTGGTATATATATTTATAGACATTTATTATTTAAATACAGCATATAAGCGGAATCCTGAAGACACTAAATTCTATACTAGACTAACAATTTTATAAACACAAAATTATTTTACACAAAAATACAAATATATAATTTATATTAAATAAAGATGTACAACAGGCGAGCTTAACTCTGTAAGACTTCTCTTCCAGCAAACCCTGAGTGGAAAGGAGCATTATTTACCAGCGGGCAGTGTGCGTACAATAATAGGAGGAAACAGTATAGTTGTTTCTATTAAGAAATAATTAATATGTTGACATATATACAAATTAACTCATATAATTAAAGTCAAAATACATACATATCTGTGTATAGTAATACATATATACATAAACATAAAATATCTCTTCACATTTTCACGAATATGCAGTGGAAGAGACTTCCATAGTCTATTTATAATTATATATGTTTTTATTTTAATAGTTACCAGTATATAGAAATATAATATTGCGATGCTAAAATATGTATGTTAAAATTTTCTCACGAATAATGATCCTCTATTGTATGTTTAATTTTTTGATATATTTTATATAATGATCTTATATCAATTAAAAACTAGCGAGACAAAAAGTGGTGTAATTATTTTTTCAAGTAGGTAGGTTTTGCTGTTAAATTATACTAAGTGTATATATTTATAAGCCAAAGTATTTAAGCAGGCGTATACCGTTACTATATTAATTTCAACATTTATTTTGCCGTGTGAACCCGGCATAGAATGGGCTACCCCTTTCTTTCCCACAGGTGTCGTAAGAGGCGACTGAGAGAAATTAATAGTCAAGGGATGAACAGCAGCATCCTTCTTTAAACATTACAAAATCCTAATTGTGGTTGCAAAGCCGTCTGTCAAGCGTGGCAACTACTGGTAAAGCCCCCCTGATGGGGGAAGCTGAACATTCAGCAGTGGATGGTTAACGGCTGATATAATAATAAAGTGGTCTTTTGGCAATTAATCGTCTATTTAATAAGAAATTCGCTGTATCATAACAATCATGATATTAATATAAAATTTTATTAATAAAAAATAAATCAATATGAATCTTGATAAAATTTATATGAAACAACATAAAGTCGATTAAATAAAACATTTAGTCTTTACTTCGAGTTGACAAAGAGGTTGCGTAACAGATACCTAAAAAAATATTTATAATTATTTTTTCAACATATTTTTCGTATTTTAAATAACTAAAAAGAGTGAAATACATCTTGTATTTTATTCGATTGTATTCTTTTTAATTCCTGATTTAATTCTAAAGTGTCTTGATTAATTCCATATACTTTCATAGATTATATCATTTTAATAATTAACATATTTTAAATTATTTATTAATTTAATTGACTGATTATATTAAATTTTAATGTAATTTACTGATTGGTTTAAAATATTACTTTTGCAATTTATAGGGTTTACTTTACTAAATGATAAAAATACTAAAAAATGTAGGGTTTGCTTAAAAATAAAAAACCAACATAAGTATCAAAACGTCAGTATAATTTTATTACGATTTCAAGATATCTTTGTACATTTTTATACAAAACAATAATTTCATTAAGACTAATAATTACAATCCAAAAATTACATTTATTTTTAAGTTTATAATTATTAAATCTAATATCACGATTTAGCTTAATATTAATTATAATTATAATAGGTACTCAAGCGTTACATTTATGCTCAAAACTGATAACATTGCGAACATTTATATCATTTATATACATTTCTATAATAAATAAGCATGTCAAATAAATGCAATCTATATATATTTATTCCATAAGCAACTATAAAAGTAAAATAATGTATAATATTAAAAAACAAAATTTCATTGCGAAACAATATAATTTAATGTACAAGCCAAAACATAATTTCCGACTTTATATATCCAATAATGAATTACAGTTTAATTGCAATATAATTTTATTTATAAAATGAAAGTTTTGAATAATAAAGAAAAACACAGGATAATACCTTATGGTGTCTGTGTATTTCTTTATTAAAAGTTATAAGTATTTAAATTTAGTAATTGGAAATATGGGTAAGTTTCATCTTAAACTATTTGGTGTTGTATTACAGTGACTGCTTGTGAATTTGTTTCACAGCTCTGATAAACTATTTTTATATAACTAATAATAATTTTAATGTATATAGAAAGTATTTTTATAATCAGACTCAACATTTTCACATGTTCTTTATACAAAATATTAGTTCGATAAAATATTTTCGTACTACTCCGACATTCGTATGACTTAGATTACGTATGTGAAAATTGACAGTAACATTAAAATTACAAATAGGTATTATATGTACAATTTTTAATAATGGTGCTTTAATGTGTCAAATGCGATAAATAGTAATAATTTTAAACAAAATAAGTACGTCCTTTTGTGGAAGCATTAGTAGTTATAGAATGTGGAATATTTGGCGAAATGTCTTCTACCCTAGAATACACGTGACCACTGTTAGGGGATAGCCTAAGGTCGCAATTAAACCGAGGACATGTTCTGTTGTCGATCGACATATAGCTATTGTTCGAATCATTCCCTTCGCCGTACGTGTTGTTATCAGAGGAAGGAGAACTATCGTTTTGTGAGGACTCTCCGTCGTTTTTCTTACAGTACTGTAAGGAATTCGAGAAATTCTGCCTTGAGCAATTATCATTTGAGATTGGCATTGTCGTATACCTCAAGGTTGGTGTTTGGCGCAATGACTTTTTGAATACGCTTTTTTCTGAGTTTTTTACCGTAATAATAGTATCAGTTGAATTCAACAAAGCTACGAATTTCTCCCAGAATCGAGGATCATTCCACAAAATATTTTTAAATTTATCCAACAAGATACAAAGTTCGTCGTTTATTTGGTTGTTATCTATTATCTTAATGAATATAACTTTGTTCAAATCACTACGATTAAGAGATTTTAAATAACTATAAAAAATGTTTTTAAAATGAATGTCACAGAGATCGTTACAAATAAAGTTTGTCGTAAGTATTATTACAAGACGTTTAGATAACTTCGATGATTTTGAAAAGCTATCTAAAGTAAGGATATTTAGAGATTGTTCATTAGGGGATAATTTTTTGTATGTCATTTTTCTGTATTCTATCTCTGACATAATATTATGGTACACGAAATTAGAATCTTTGGTATTACATATCACGTAGTAGTCGTACATTTGACTTGGGTTTCCTTCCAAAACATGATCAACATTAGGACATGATTGCTCTTTGAACAATGGTATACCATATTTGGTATATACCCAATCGCTGACATTATATCTGAAAGCGTAAAAAATAGCACCTATCAGACAAATTAATACAACAATTATAATTACACCACATATAACAGCAAAATAGTTATCAGGTAGAAATACTGATTTAGAAACGATTTCATTTTTAGACACGGTTGGGTCATTAATTGATCCCATATATTCTTTACAGTGGCTAAGTACGGATGCAATAGTTATTTTGGTTGGTTTTCCTTCAGTATCTGTACACAACATCTTTTCTGGGTCACCCGGATCCCTTCGAAGCCATGAATCTAATTCAGCTATACTTTTGCAGTCACAGGAATATTGATTACCTTCGATAGAAACGTGAGCTAAACTTTTGGAAGACGAAGCTAGTAATTTCCAAGGAAAAAAATTCACTAGCTTGTTATCATCTATCCTTAGAACTGAAAGCGATTTCAAGGAGGAAAATGTATTGTTTGCAACATGCACAATAGCATTATGATCTAAATATAATTCATTTAAATTGTTAAGATGCATAAATTCATCGCCTTTCAGTTCGACAAGTTTATTATTTTCTAAATGGAGAACCCGTAATGAATCAACTCCTTTAAAAGTTTGGTTATTAACTTCTTTCAACTTTGTGTTATTGAGATATAAAACCTGTAATTTCTTTTTGCCAATAAATACATGATTACCTAAATTATTTATATGATTCCCATCTAAGTATATTTCAGTAGCATCCATTGGAATTCGTTCCGGTACTTCTGTGTAACCCGCATTCGAACAATCGACCACGTTTGCATTCCACGTAATATCGTGATAGCATCTACAATTATTTGGACAAATCATTTCACAGTCACAAGCTACAAAGTCACAACAATGACATAGGGCGAAACAATGGCTTTCATATGGGCAGAGAAAGTCCGATGGAGACATGTCTATTATCATTTTTTTCTCATTGGCACGCGAATGAACTAAAGAACATGAAGCTTTATCAAGATCTAGCACGCGCGGGTATTGTCGAGTGTGACTTAAATAATTAATGCGTTGAATCCATTCCATTGAACAGTCACAAACAAATGGATTTCCGCTTATAAAGAACTCGGGTAAGTCACTATCTTCATCTATTTTATCCAGCCTAAACGCATTCATGTCGAGTTGTACTAAATTATTATTATTTAATGTTACAGTTGTTAGCTTTTGTAGCTTGGAAAACGTTCCAACTTGAATATGTTGTATATTATTATCATTCAAATAGAGTTTCTCTACTGATTTTGGTATTGAAGTAACAGTCAGTTGAGTTATGTTATTGTAACTTAAATCTAATAGTTTTATATTTATATTCGAATGCATGTCATCATTAACAAAGTTTTCAATGTAGTTTTTATGTAAATCTATCCATTCTAAGCTATTTGGGAAGCTACGAAAGTCGAAGGAAACTAACTTATTAGATGACATATTAAGCCACACTAAACTATTAAGAGTAGTAAATATGCCATCAAAACTTGTTATGTCATTGCCATCCATGCGCAATAATTTTAAATTAACGTTTTTTCTAAAACAAGCAGGGGAAACCAGTTTTATTTTATTGGAAGCTAAATTAAGTACTTGCAACTCAGGCAAATGTTCGAAAGTATCGTCACTCAAATACGTAACTTTGTTATCAACTAAACGCAAACCGAAGAGTTCAGAGAGGCCACGAAAGTTTTCCCGATCTAGATGAGTTATATTATTATTACCAATGTCCAGTGATTTTAGCGATCTGAGTTTTCTTACTGAAGCAGGGATAAAAGATAAGAAATTGTCATTTAAACCTAGGTCTCTAATAGTGGTCATATTATCGAAAGCATTATCATTTATGTGTTTAATTTTATTGTTGTCTATAAATAACTCGTGCAAGACATGTAAATCCGTAAATAATCCCGAATGAATGTGTACAAGTATATTGTGTGACAGCGTTAACGAATGCAAATTCCTTAATTCCTCAAAAGCATGTTCATCAATAGATGTTATTAGATTATGCTCTAAGTTTAATTTTTGAAGACTATACAAACTTTGAAACATGTAACGATCTATTCTTGATAACTTATTATATGAAAGGTTCAATATAACCATTCGTAACAGTCCAACAAACGTTTCTTTATTTACCCACTGACTGGTAAGATCATTATGAGAAAGGTCCAATATTTGAAGTTGTTGTAAACCTTCAAAGAGACCCGGCGGTATAACATTAATAGTATTGTTGCTCAAATTTATTTCTTTCAAAGACTTTGTATCAGAAAATAAATCTGGTGGAAGCGTGTTCAAAAAGTTACTAGATATATTTAAAACCTGTAAACTAAATAATCCCCCAAAAGCACCATCTTCTAGGGTAGAAATTGCATTATTTTGTAACATTAATTTCGTTAACGAACGTAACTTAGATAGGCCGTTATCAGTAACAACAATTAAATCATTGTGAGCTAAATCGAGTACCTCTATAACTAAATTACAACTTCTTATACTTAAGTTTTGTTCTCGTAACGAATCAGAGAAACCAATTGTCTTTATATTCTGTAAATGATTTCTTGTCAAATTCAATGTTTTTAAACTATATAACGAACAGAATGTTTCCGTTTTCGTGCTCCAGATATTGTTGTCACTTAGATTAAGTTCTATTAATTCGTTTAAGCCCGAAAATGATTGTTCATGCAGTTCCATTGTCATGGCTGACCATTCGCTGTTGTGGGTTGTCACATGCAGTCTCTTCAAATCTTTGAAATTCTCAAAAGCTCGTGCCGGTATCTGTCGTATTTTACATTTGTCTATAATTAGGTCTCGTAGTTTGGCTAAATTTACCTTGTTTGTTGCTTTCTCCGAATGAGCAGTCAAAGTACTTTCAAAAAACAAAATCTCACTGCATTGCACATGTAGAGATATCACGTCATCGAAGTGCGTTCGACTGATGTTTTGTAACAGGTGGTCCAAACTACTTATCGTCCTGATTTTACAGAATAGTACAGCGTTTTCCAACGCTTCCGTCTCAGAGGTGCGATAGGCGCATTCATGCGGCATTTCGACCGCAGAATATCTTTCGACAACATGACAGTAAAACAACACGTACACTATAATTCGATTTAAAGTTCGGCGTTCGGGTCTTTTCACAAGAGTTCGTTTTATTAGCATTTTACGATCATATATGAGTTGCGGTGAGGCATTGAGGTCGGCTGTGCCATTTATGTGGAGACGTATTGGACGATCGCGTCATAAATATTCACGTAGTTGGAGAGACATCGCGACTCGCGTGGCATGAATGTAACGCGATACTGGCAGGCGTGCGGCGCGGAAAGCGGCTGCCCACCGACTGAGCGACGTTTTTTGGCTCCGCCTATCGACGCCCGCCGACGCCCCGCGCCGCCCTGGCGTCTAAAGAAACTTCATCTCATATTATCAAGGGTGCATAAACCGTTGAATTATTCCCGTGCGGGTGTATCGAGCATTAATTATAAACAAACTGGGTTCGTATTTCCTAGAGCATAGACTTTTATAACCAAATGTTTTTATTGGTATAATATATATATATATATATATATATATATATATATATATATATATATATATATATATATATATATATATATATATATATATATATATATATATATATATATATATATAAAACGCTTGAGCATATGAGCACTATATGAGCACTGATGGAGTAGTCAAAGATATTTTTTTAAAGAGTGTTAATGGAATGGTATCATATGGTCAAACACCAATAAAAAATGATAGATGATAACGAAAGCAGGTCAATTAGACCATCGTAATATTAGACAAGAATTAAATAATATAGTTTCCAAGGGAACCGCGTGGAGGTCGTCCTGATTGAGTATGCTGCTAATAATGAGCTTTTTTTAAACCCCTTTACTTACTAACAATCCCTTCTGGATATGCTCTCAGTTTGCATAGTATATTTGAATTCAATTTAGCAAAGGGAGAGCCTATTGCTGTTTCTCGGGTTTATTTAGATTGTTAATAGTATTTACCATTTCTAGAGAGACAGTTGGAAACTTAAATTGGCATACATTCAATCTTACGACATTTATTTAGGCTATATGGCTACACCGCTGTGTTTGTTTGATTTTATTGTAATTGATAAAGGTACTTGAATAGCCAACCATGAAAAAGCATGAGTATAAACTTAATAATGGAGATCGATTACTAATAGGAAATGTAATAGAACTTGTACTAGTCAGTCACCCAATGGTGATGGTCTTATGAATAGAAAAATTAAAGAAAAAATAATCATGTCATATATCTATATTACATAATTATTTTGAATGACTAATTTATGACAATAAATGCTGCTTATAAAACATGGAAATATTTGTTAATTTTTGCTATTGTCAGATATGATTTTATTTAAATATAACGTTGACGGTTATGAAATAATCTGTTAGGGCAGTTTTACCTCATTAAAAATTAATCGGCACTTTCGGTGTATTTATGTGGACGTCCTCTTTTTATAAACAGTGGGTAGTCCTTTAAAAAAGTGGCTATTACCTTTACATCACGAACACCTGTTGTTCTAGAAGTTTGCGAAACTTTTTACTCAAGACTCCACGAAAATGAGATAAAAGCCTTACAAAATAGTTTTCTGGAACACCATATGGCTCGAGTTAACGTGTTCACTTATATTATGAGCGACGAAAATCGCTTAGGCAGAGGAAGTTTTCATAGGAACATTTTTTCAAGTTTCAGCATGTTTGTTGCGTAACTCGAACGCTTTTCAAAGGCTTGTGTATTACGCTACAAATAAAGTGAATCTGCAGCCATTTTGCCTTGATTCTTGGAATTAGAAAATTATTTATATTTTTAAAGATGATAGAAAGTTCTCAATTCGATTGTACAATTTGTGTCTGTATATTGATGTGTGATATCTTTACTAATTCTGAACTGATTTTGGTATTTTGTTTTTTATTTCAAGCAAAAGGATTTAATGGAGACGAACTTAATTCAATCAAGGTTTATTAGATTTAGGTTTTTTACTTATTATTAGTATGGCATATTTATGATTTACATATATTTAAATAAAATTAAAGCCGTTTTTGAGAAAGAACATGAACAATAAAGAATTAATATTCACGAATTTTTATATAAGACGCACGGGTCTTGAATATCCAAATTATAGCATCTGGATATCCAAGAGGCACGGGTTGAAGTCATGAAACAATGATTTTACTTAAATTATAACTACAAACATTCCTACAATATTTACTTCTAAATAATATAACACAACAGAAGGAAATCTAGATTAAAAAATAATAATAATTACGTACTGTAATGTCAAGTTAACGTACTATATTTTTAGCTCCAAAATTGTATTTAATTAGTAATGTAAATATGACTATAAGTGTAAATTGTAAAACATCTATGAAACTGTATAATACTACTACTTTATTACTAAACTTCGAATCATGATTTCAAACTTATAAATAATTCAATAGGACGATAAAAAAAAAACCATCGAAAGCTAACATGCAATTACAGAGCCATGTTCGAAGACTTGGAGTGCATACCAACTAAACCAACTCAACCAACTATGTTAACCTATGGGAAGTTTACGTAATAATTGATCGGTTTATTGTCCAGGGACGTACTCGTTTTCAACAGAGTTCCAAGGAACTAAACATATTATTAGAAGAGTGCAAATAATATTTCGAAAAAAAAAAGTTGAATTCGATGTGTTTCGATCTATATAGTAATCAGTTATGATAATGATAAATATACTACAATAGCAATTTTAAAGAATTGTTGTTTATATGCATTTTTTCAATGGATCTGTAGCTAATTATTTAGAAAATTTATTGTCATTTATTTAAGTGACAATTTTTGTTGATTCACATTAGGTACTATATTCTCATATAGAATATTACAACAGAAACATAGAATACTCCAATAAGAAAAAAGGGATTTGTTTCTTTTTCTAGATGATTTATTAGTTTCTTCAAAATTTCAGTATGTATAATTAAATGAAATGGAAAGTCATTTATTATCTATATCTAATAAAAGGTATTTCCAACCAAAAAATAGATAGTATAAGATAGATAGATTCCAAATCGTATAAAACAATCATAATTATCATAAAAATAAGATTACATGAAGAAAAGATTGTCTCAACCTTGATGGTGTAGTGATTTAATACACTTTGCAAGTTTGATCCTTACACAATACAAATATAATTTGTAATTTATATTAGCCTAAACGAATTCAATATAGTATATGTTTCTTAAAAAAATATATAAGAATTTACATATATCTATTATTAACTCTGATTTTGAAACTAGATGGCAGTGTATTTTTGTTTAGAGTTACTCTTTTTCCCTAGTCTGTGAGTGTGCATGCGTAATTGAGCTATGTGAGTGCACAAACAAGTACACGATAATTTGTAGTTCATGATAGCGCCTGATGGCTGGACCACCCACCGCCTCAGGATTTCTAAAGTTAAGTACGTACTCGTAATGATGGTAGAATATTAGGGAGTACAACGTACGGTACGTTTGTTTTATTTGAAATCAAAATCACAAAGGCTCTTTTGCTTATAGATAGCATTATAAAGAGGCTGCTATTTTGGTTTGTTTCTTTGAGAAAATTACTAATAATAACCGCATTATCTATATGCAGACTGAAGTCGGAATTGTAAACATTTTTGTTTTTAAAACTTATTTTCTATTTCATTCGACAGCACCTTTGTCTACTGTCACCGCTATCTCCGCCTCCCACCAATGTCTTTACAGGTTTTGCAAACTGCAGAGACGAGACACTGCGACATAAAGCACTGCATTCACCATGAAAAAGACTTCCGGATGAAGTCGAATCGATTGGATAGGACAAGCTAAGTAAGTTTATAAAATCAGGTATACATATATATATATATATATATGAAGCATTAGAGTCTTTTAGTATTTTACCAATAAAACTGAATATTTACCAATATTATTTTGTGTAAATATATAGTTATATAAAAGAATGTTAATGACTTCCATTTTATCTTGTATATGGGACATTATCATACTTTGTCTAATATAAAATAAATAGGGAATTTTAATCGTCAAAATGATACATTTCTCTTTATTAATATTGCATCTTAAGAAATTTTATTAGAAATTTCTTAAGGTCTTACCTGACTTCTTATTAATGTAATAAAATTGTTACTAGACGATGTCTGTACATGAAAGATATTATAATATAGGGTCATAATAAGAGCAATAGAAATCAAATCAATATTTTTTATAAATTTTATTTATATGTTTGTTCCTATATCACACAAAAATTACTGTGCTAAATTGGATGCAGTTTTCACAGTTGTGTTCTAACTAAAGTTCTAACTCAAAATGTAGTGTTTGTTTTATTATGATACAGCATCGAGTAATTGTCCATAATATCTGTTTTCATAAAAAAAAAATATAAACTCATAGCTGCGAAATAGATAATATTTTATAGTAATAATGTACAGATTGACTTGCGGATATTATCAAGAATACTCGACTAGTTCCATCCCAAGTTATTACATTTTAATTAATAAGGTAATAGACAAATATTTCCACTTTTTTAACGAATTTTCTAAAAAATAGATGTAGTTACCTATACTTATTTCGAGAAATAATAAGGAAAGAATATTTGCAATGCGTACTTTAACATTTCATCCCGTAATGACAATAATATATGGAAAATATTAAATAATATATAATATTTATAAATATTACATGACATGAGAGACAAAACATAATTGTATATAAACATGTATTTAATTAACACTGATGTAATTCATCAATCTATTTTTTTACAAAATAAATTATTTGATTAAATTCTGGAGAGGATATTTAATTTTATTGAACACAGTTTCATGTATTTTGAACTATTACTCAAATATGAACAACAAAAATGGTTACACAAACAATAATAAATTTCTGAATGTACAAAAGTTCACGCTGTGACCGCAACTTTATCTTGTAAAGTCAGGACATATTGATCGACCGGCTTAAAAAGTAACTAAATTTCTCCTTAAATACTACGTGTATTTAAAATTTTGTGATGATTGCATGAGTCGTTACGGTGCCAAAAGATAATACTCTCACATTCACGTTCATAAATATTTCTAAGGATATCCTTGCATTTCTTCGTGTTTTGTTGCAGACAGACTTATACTGTGGTCGAATATTAATAAGGTTTCTGGAGATGAAACCGTTTTTACAAATTGCTCAGTATATACTACCGCTGAAAATGAGAAAATAAAATATAGAAATAAATGAATGATTATGCTTACTGCTATATTATTTGTTGAGATATTTAGATTCATCGAATGATACATTAACAAATTTTGGAA